CCAAGGTCCAGTGGTATCAGCCATATTCAATGAATTTAAAACAAGCCTCTACCCTGCCATTCATTCACAGATTCACGGCTGCTAAGACACTAACAACTATCACCAACACAGAGACAGTCAAGAGAGAAGCTCGTATATAATAATCTGTGCTGAAAGTTTAATTCAAAAAGTATAATCCTTTGTGGACCTCGCACCATCCTCATTCAATCTGAGTCTTAGTTCTAGCAGAAACATGTACATTTCACCTGTCAGGTAAGCTAAGGGAAGCCAGCCTCACAGAAGATCTCGCAGATTAGCTGTTAACTGATACTGCAAAAAACAGATCATACTTCTTGTTAATTTTGATGACTATTTGAACAAGCCTTTGGGCTGTTTGCTACATTCTGTCTGGCTATTTCATGGAGAAGCGTCCTGTAGATGGCATGACTGCAGAGAAATGATGCAGGAAGGACGATGCAGGATACGAGCACAAAGCTGGGACCCATGACTAAGACAGAAGCTGAGGAAGCACCACACCAGTGAGGAGGCTGCTTCTAAAGTGAATTCCAGCTACAGAATACAGCAAGAGGGCGAGAGCTTAGGTCCTGCTCTCAGAACTCAATCAGATATTTTTGTCTAACAGTATTACTGAAGTTTTCCAGTGTTTCGGCAGTCAGGCATTCATTAAAGTTAAATGGGATGCTAAGAAAGCCACACACACACACACACATAAAAGTTTGCAATTATATCTTTGTGGGGACTATCCATTCATTTATATGGGAAAAACTCTAATCCTAACATGATGACCTTAACCCCTACCCAGCCTTAACCTTAACCATAAGTAGCCAAACACAATTTTTAGTTTTCTGATTTCAGAGGTCCCCACAACGTCAAAATAAGATGTTTTTATCACATTGTGGGTACATGTAATGTATATCTGAGCATGTGAACTGGTTGAAATGCGTGTGTCTCACCGTCAATGAGTGAGAATGCCCGGCATCAGAGTCCCAGTAACACCCAGCTGAAGATAATCATGCTGGCTTTGCCTGCAGCTCTACAGAGCCCCCCACCACCACCCCAGGCTTGGGAGGAAGAGCTCTGCTCTATCCAGCTGTGTGAGCATTCTCTTCAAAGCCAGATGCACGCTGACAGCTGCCGGAACCAAATGCAGTTCTCCTGCCTGGCTTGCTCCTTCAGGCCCTCCCCGAAGGCACCACAATCTCCACTGACCACCTACCACAAACAAAAGACCTCCCTGCCCCCACACTGAGTACATGTGCCCGTCTGTGGACTAAATGGATTCACCTGCCTCTGGGTCCATCTTGCATGTCACAGCTAATTAGTAAAATGATTTTCGGGGTTGCCAACATAGAAACGAATGTTGTGTGACTTTAACTGAGTGGCTCAGTGGGCTAAGTCTCGTGATCAGAATGTTGCCGGATTGAGCCCCAGTCTGAACAGAAGAGTTACCTGTCTGTGGACCCTTGAGCCAGGCCCTTAACCCCACTTCCAGGGGGGCTGCAATTTGGCTGAACCTGTGCTGTGACCCCCAAGTCACGGAGAGCAAGATGGAGTAGGTGAGGAGAAGGATTCCAGTATACCTGTACCCATACATATGCAAATGGTAAATAAAGTATTTGTCATTTAATAAGTACTGGAACACCACCTCTAGTCAGGACAGTAAACAGAGCCACACACTGTGGAAATGGGAGGGAGAATCAGGACTTACCTCTGGTGTGGATTTTTATCAGCTTTAGCAAAGGGAAAGGCTTTGGGACTCCATCTACATATGGCATTGGGCAATAACGTCATGGATATCACTGCTGTAGGTTATCAGGGCATGCTTCAGACAAAGCCGCATGCCAGACAGGCACCGCGGCATCAGAAGGGAGCTGAGGGAGTAATATGGGCACTGCAGAGAGCCAAAGTCTGGCTGCTGGAAATAAGAAGGGCAAACGGAATGAAACGGGTAACGTGAAACGACGGAGTGTCAGCCTGTCTGTCTGCTCAAGTAAAATGTTCCCTGTTTAGGTTTGACGCGTTGTGACATCCCTTCTGAATATTTAAAACTTTAATAAGAACAGAAAGGATAAACAAAAAATGAAAAGTATGAGTTACTATTATAAGAAATAATTCCACTGAAGATGATGGCTCTTCATTGTAATTGTTCTAATATTATCATTAAAGGTCCACCGTCAAAATGTCACCGTGACTCATGGCTTGGCAGTAAGTCCCCACAAGCCACAAGCAGCATTTTCTGGCTTTTAAGGAATTCAAAGAGCACAGTAACTTAGGTAAACTAATGAGCCGGTGACAGCTTTTCCAGATGATCTGTAATGACGCTGAGATACCCTCCAGCCACCACACACAGCCAGAGCCAAAGTAAAACCCCCACACCCCACATCCCCCCCAAAGCAACATCCATCATTCTGCTGAGACTCTCATTATATCAAAGCTTTCAAAGTCATTGTATAAATTAAACTTGTTTGTGCCATAATTTACACTCTACTGCTTGCAGCATTCAATATTCTGCTGTTCATCTATCTATCTATCTATCTATCTATCTATCTATCTATCTATCTATCTATCTATCTATCTCCAGTTTTTGTCCAACTTGCTTTTTTATCACTGTCAGTTTGATGTGTTGTACTTCTTCCTCTTTGACTCATCACTGCTTCCTCTTTGACTCGTCACTGCTTCCTCTTTGACTCGTCACTGCCATCAGCGTCACTTGGAGAATGTCCCGAGGGGCTTCACACCTAAATGGAGCAGCTTCACATAGAGCTTTGGAAGTTTTTTCTGAACTTCTGGTCCGGTGTATTTTGGATGTGGACAGAGCAGTGTTTTATTCAGACTTGAAAAGGCGCCATTTTGGTTCACCGGCACCCATCTCTGGCAGTACAGGAACAGTCCAGCTTAGTTTGATTTTCATAGCAGGAACTTGCCATTAGGGTTGGTATTTTCAATATTGTAGGTCATGGAATTATTTTCTGCTGCCATTATGCTTCTGAAATAAGAGGCATCCTCTCCAGGGTGTGCCCCAAACAGGGCGATGCCACCCCACTCAGAATTTTTATATCTGCATTTTTAATGCATTTGTTTGACTTTATTACATTTTATGATATTTATTTATGAGCTTTTCATATAATGAGCCAAACGTATTGTTATAAATATGTCATATAGATCATTCCTCTAAAAGTCCTACGTGTCCTTTTCCGCAGCAGGTGTCACGCGCTCAGATCTCTGCTGTGCATCAATGCAGCAGGAGATTAGCAGTGGGCTGTTGAAGCAGTTAGAGCATTAGCATCAAACCCTTCTTCATACGTGTGAAAATGAATTGCAATTATTTTGCATAATTACATTTCAGAAATATGGGCATAGTTTGCTTTGCAAGACAGTTTGCTATCACCATGTAAAGTCAGCCATCCCTCAGCCCAGTTGTTTAGCCTTCTGGTTCGATAGCTGTGTAATAGCACAGCGTCCTATTTAATTACTAAAGGAGAGCTCTGAGTATCACGACAGTGAGATGAAGGTTTTTATCATCACTATCGCAGGTTATATCACAGGACAAATTAATTTTGTTTGCCAATCTTGACAAGTCATAAACTCCGAGATAATATTGTTTGTAATAGTTTTGAGACTCACCTATTTTGTTTTATTTCTATTGTAAATATTCAGCAGCTACAGTAGACTAAGTATGGGTGGGGGAAATCAAAACGTTCTTGCAGAATTCATATCATTCTTTGTGCGTAGGGAAAATTTTCAAAATGTCAAGAGTGGCTCCGTGGGCACCGGTCCTGGAGACGCAGCCAGGAGTGTTAATCAGCCATCCCCGGCAGGAAAATTTTATCACATACAAGATTGCTTTTGATTGTCGAAGCCAGTGTTCAGAAAAGCTGTCAGAATGGCACCTGAGGTTTAATGTCGTGTACAGAAACATCACCTACGCATGCAGAATGTGGCGCCCGGCACCCAAGTCCTCGGCGCGCCGCGTGACCCGCCTCCCTTCGGGGTCATCAGGGGAATGCGAGACAACAGAGCCGGCTGTGAGGCAGGGCCCCCGCACAGCTGTGCAGCTCGGGTGGGGGCTCAGCAGGAATCCCCGACACGCATGGGGACGCCGGCCAGAACACATTCCCCTCATTCTGGCCTTTTCCACCGCCAGCAGCGGTGGGAATTTACTGCCACGTCTGAGGAAACATTGTGCCACTTCTGTCTCTCCTTGAGATCGAAGCAGAGCAGGAATTTGGTGGACTGAGGTTAAGGAAGTTGACAGAGGGGCCACCCAACTCCTTTTGAAAGACGTGTTCACTGCAGAGGGGCCACCCATCTCCTTTTGAAAGACGTGCTCACTGCAGAGGGGCCACCCATCTCCTTTTGAAAGACGTGCTCACTGCAGAAGGGCCACCCAACTCCTTTTGAAAGACGTGTTCACTGCTTAGGGGCCACCTATCTCCTTTTGAAAGACGTGCTCACTGCAGAGGGGCCACCCATCTCCTTTTGAAAGACGTGTTCACTGCAGAGGGGTCACCTATCTCCTTCTGAAAGACGTGCTCACTGCCCACGCTTCAAGTGTCCCAGCAGAAATGGAGCAGTCTGTCTATAGGCCTATAATTAGGGTATCACTGTACGGCAGCTTCTACAAGCATCCTGTTTAATTGCCAAGACAAAAAGTAGCTTGGTCATTAAAGATATAACCAAGTAAAGAGAATGGCAGCTTACCTGATTAGACATTTACCATAATTACCTTACTTGGTAAAGTTTAACAGTTATGAATCGGTAGTGGTGGTTCTGGCACATTTGGCTCCCTGGGCCAAATCCAAGTTGTCCATTGGTGTCAGTGCCCGACATATTTGTGTGGGCACCCCATGGCACATCTTGAACGATGCCATCATGGGCAGTTGTCCATCTTGCCCTTGCCAGGATCCACCCATGGGATTAGGCCCATATATCAGAATCCGCTCCGATGGTCTAACCGCATTGCCTCGCTCTACCTTAAGTCACCCCAGTGGCTCTCTTACCTGATGTTATGGGACTTTCGCTTGATCTCGCTCCAGCAGAGGTTCATTGTGCCCCCCCCCGAGCAGCTTCTCCTGCCTCTTCCCCCCGTGTGCCCGGCTCCTCGTCACGATTCCCTGGCGCTCGGCCGCAGTGACGCCGCTGCCATACGGCTCATCCAGAACCTTCCGGAAACACAGACAGGCACGGAGGCTCAGGACAGCGTCAGAAGGGCGAGGCTGATGTCTCTCTTCACCTAAGCGAGCCCAGAAAGGCAAAAAAATAAGCAAGCATTGCTAGAGGACTGATCTGCCACGTATTCATACAGCGTGCACCTACGCGCGGTCCGGCTTATCTGGGGTGAACGAGTGCGCCACAGTGCTGGTGACATCTCCCGTTTCTCGGTGACAAGCTGTCATATCGCTGGAGCTTCGGCATATCCCCTGCAGCCCTTCGCTAAGTCTCCCCTTCCCTCCCAAACACCCGACTTTCCAGCCTAACAACCAGACAAACACTCAAAAGCTGAAGGCACTGAAAAGATATTCAGAGAGAAGCAGCACATCCCAAGCCTCTGCAGCAGTTAACAGTGAATGTCGGCTTCACTGCAATCACTGCAAAGCTAGCACATCTGCAGCAAGGCAGTAATAGCTGCTGAGCAAACAAAATGTCACACATAAGATGCTGTTTTATTCATATTCTTATTATTAAATTACCTGTATCTAAATTATTTTTATAGTTGTTTTTATTGAAAAGTTACCCAAGATACTTAGTTGCTTTCCTTAAAAATAGTGTTGCACTTTACCACCGATCATCCATCCATCCATTTTCTATACCCTCTGGTCCTATGCAGGGTCACGGGAGTTCGTAGCCTATCCTGAAAGCTATGGGCGCAAGGCAGGGAACAACCCAGGATGGGGGGGCCAACCCAGGATGTGGGGCCAACCCATGGCAGACCTCCAATCATTTCATTATAGATACACATTCTTAATTAATATGTTTCTAGCTCTATATGCATGTGTATAGATCTCAGTACCATAAAATACCAAAAAGATGTTCACATTTGATAATCACATTTGATAATCTACAAAAAAGGCTCTTGCTGTGAAAATGAGCAAATCTAGTGTTCTTTGCCTAAAAGGATGCTCTCTCACTTAAGGGAACATAAAGTCCTCTATATTCCTGTCACCATGATCCACAAATTCAGCTTTATACTCCTAGTACAAGATCCTCACCAAGTACTGTATGTCAATAACCTAGAACCAAAACACAGCCGTAATAAAAGACAAGAATCTGCATAGTCACCTGCAAAACAGTCGTTCACAAGTGCCAAGATCATTAAACTCCAAGCATTCATCATGAAATATTTTATACATTTATGCAGTTTAAAATAGTATAATGTCACATTATCAGTCAAAACTATATCAATCTGAAGAACAATCTCCTTTTGTCAGTTTCCTCATGATAATAGTTGATTAACCTTGAATTTGTATTTGCTATTTATCTTTCTATTCTCTTAAATTTCTTATTCTCTTTCTTATTCTCTCAAATTTAATAAAAAAAATCACCATAAATTAATATGCAAACCCTATGATTGGTGGGATTGAACTGGAGTTTAAAAATGCATTGGAGACAATTTCAATTCACTCTTACATATACTTTCTTACCTGTTAATATTGGTTAATGTAAAAACAATGTAAAGCATACCATTATATAACCACCACTGACACTGCGCTACATGCCTTATGTTGGGTCTGTTCTGGAGGCCTGTCCAGCTTCACCACTCAGGAGACATAAACATAAGATAATAGCAGTCTGATCCTTAGTTTCCATGCCGATCCATGGCAGTCATAACACTTACCTCAGACCTTGCCAAACCCAGGTCTGGACTCTGTTCGGATTTGGGTCCATTCAAGCGCTGGACTTGCTATCATTATAAACCAGGGGTTTTTCCACTGTCTGCTGGGTGGTTTGGCAAAAACAGTCGTCATTTAATTTTCCCTTGTGGAGAAAGAATTTTGGAAGGCATACAAATATATTGGTACTGCCATCAATGAAAGCATTGTTCCCTCTCCATTGTTACTGTCACAATGACGACACAAGGGAAAATCTACAGCCCTCATCCTGCATAACAGCTTGTACTGACACATGCATAAAAAAGCAAGTGAGACCACTGAACAGAAATAATATCAGGCACTTAACAAGTCATACTGCCAAATGCTCTCCTGAGACATATTAATTCCTGCAGTAAGCAGGAATATGTTCTCAACGGCCAAGAATCAGCTGAGGAATGAATAAAGGTTAATGTCACCTCTGTCTGACTTTGGATCCCTACTCAACTGCAATTACGGTAAATATGTCGGAGAATGAACATTTAACATCAAGATACGAATCGCTCCCGCAATTCCCCGCCATACCTATTCAAACAATAAAAGCGGACCAGCTGTCACCATGATCCACAAATTCAGCTTTATACTCCTAGTACAAGATCCTCACCAAGTATGTCAATAACCTAGAACCAAAACACAGCCGTAATAAAAGACAAGAATCTGCATAGTCACCTGTACCTATATCTCAGGTGCTCCTTCAAGTTGCTTTGTACTACCGATTTGTTCGGAGAGATACCAGGTCATCTATCTGTGGGCTATGAAATAAGATAAAATAAAGTAAAGCCAGAGATGCTGAAGCAGATGTGTACTCACTGCTTTTGTCGTAACCGTATGAGTATCCATTCCGTTTTAATGCTTGGTAGGCAAACAGACCTGATTCTCCCCTAATACAGACAGATGAGTGAAAAATCCTAATGAGTCCCATTATGAAGAACCAAATACTGCATTCTCCAAGCAGAGTAACACATCAGGGGCCTCACATGGTAGGGATGAGGCCAGAATGTTGATGTTCTTTGCTGATTGTGGAACAGGATGACTTGTCAATATCTCAGGTGCTCCTTCAAGTTGCTTTGTACTACCGATTTGTTCGGAGAGATACCAGGTCATCTATCTGTGGGCTATGAAATAAGATAAAATAAAGTAAAGCCAGAGAGTTCAGAGTTTCTTTTTTTTTTGGTATTTAAAAAAAAATATTTATATTCAGTAGCTGATGGATGATAATTGTTCCACAGCCAACCAATAGCATATTCATTTGCTACTTTATGATATTAGTCAAGGCAGCATGATTCCTTATTTACTGAGACTCCACTGGAAGGGATGTTTGTTGCTTAGAGTATGAGGTTACAGCAGCGTGGGTCCCCACTTCAAAGGAAATAATTTCAGCATCCCTAATGGAAGTATTTTTCACTGAATAGTTACCTAATGCAGAACACTTTTAGAGAACTACGGCTTACAAGTAAATACAAATTAAATGTGTTTAGAAAATTAAACAAACATGAAAAACATTCACTTATACTAGAATCTCGCTAAAATGGAGGAAGACAGTTTGTGACAGAGGATAGTCAGACATTTCCTCTCTCCATGTCGCTAAACACTTCCACTCTTGGAAAAAGCGGTTTTGTCAGCCGTGTCACTTCCTGTTTGCTGAGATGCATGACCAGATGGATGCCTGCTACAACCTGTGAAATGATTGAATCTTCTGGTGTTTCAACACAGTATATTCACAAGAAGCTTTCAGAGAAGCACTTAGCCAAAGCAGGCACATGTGCACCCTTCACATCTTCAAAGAAAAGGAAAATATCAGCCCCAGAGGACTTTTCCCACTCCTTTGTTTGTGATTGGTTACATTTTGTTTATTCATTTTAATACAGAACAGAGAGAATCCACTGTGGCATTATAAAAACTACCAAAGGGCCCAAAATGACAGATAGGAATAAAAAGTACCAGCTGATAGAGCAATTCAGATAAAACAATGGGAACTGCATCCAACATCCACCTCCTTTGTTTGTTTGTTTGTTTGTACAAAATGTTGACAAAAATAAATGTTAGCTTATTTACTTTACATTCAATGAACACTCAAGAACACACAAAACAAGCTTCTAAAACTTTAAGAAATAATGTTCTTGACTGTAAAGGAGTGCAGTAGAAAGGACAAAGAGTGAATGGCACGTTTGTGGAGAAATACTGATTTTTGCTGCTGCAGATGACACAGAACAATCACAAAAGGACATGCAGACCTAACACTGAGGCTCAAACCAAACCAAAGAATGCTATAAATAAGCCAAAGGCTGACAATGCTCATACAAACTGTTGCTAGCAGGCACCACCATGATCTCCCAACGGAGCCCAACAACCCAAAAGAGGACAGCTGAGGGTTAAAAAGCCCTGGACCCACCCATACCCCTCACACACAGTGTATTAGTAATAATATATCCTCATGCAGCCAGACCCACACATACAATCTCAGCAGCCACAAATACATGCCCTGGACCCACCCATACCCCTCACACACAGTGTATTAGTAATAATATATCCTCATGCAGCCAGACCCACACATACAATCTCAGCAGCCACAAATACATGCCCTGGACCCACCCATACCCCTCACACACAGTGTATTAGTAATAATATATCCTCATGCAGCCAGACCCACACATACAATCTCAGCAGCCACAAATACATGCCCTGGACCCACCCATACCCCTCACACACAGTGTATTAGTAATAATATATCCTCATGCAGCCAGACCCACACATACAATCTCAGCAGCCACAAATACATGCCCTGGCTACACCCAACTGCCCTTTTACAGCAGTTTATACAAACGACATTTCTACAATTATCATGACCCCATGATATGTGGAAGCACGCACACAAATGATCACACAGTTTCTGCTGCAGGTGTCACCGTTTGCTCTGACTTCATAAATGCTTCTGGAAAGCTTAGATGTTTTTTTTCTTTTTTTAATATTCACCAATTCACACAATGACCATTGCTAGCAGTAGCGTGTCCGTGGCTGTCTATCTGTTTCATGGGTGCGTACCATTCAGTAACATACTAATCCTGTCACCAACATCAATCAACAGCATCAATGCCAGAACCACTCACTCCTAAGGTGAATTTAGAGGGCAGAGATACTTTGCCCACTTGTAACTGTAATTTGACAAACCAAATCACTTCAAACCCAACATGAAAGGTGAGAAAGAACAAACTCCCTGATGTGAAAATGATTGAAAATTACTGGAGCTAAAAAAAAAACAGTATGTCTTTTCATCAGTGTTGACTGGAAGCCCTAGATTGCAGAGAAAGGATGGCTGACAGGTGCAATGGTAAATATTCACTTCACGAGTCACTCATGTGGCTTTTGAAGTACTTAAAAAAACATTAGGATTACATCTGTGTTCTTTCCCTGTGAAAACAGGGACTGTGCTCCACCTTACTGAGCTGGCGCTCACTCTGAGCATGACACCAGCCCTCTGGATGCCTTCCCTCAGCTGAGAGAGTATTACACACGCTGTGAGGACTCAGAATAACGGTGCAGTTTAGAGGCAAGGTGCCTGAGATGGGCGTGCCGCATCCAACCCTGTCATTTAGGATGGAGCACCCTGAGTATGCGATTAAACCTTCTAATATAAAAAACAGTTTGGCTACCCTGCCACTCTACAAACACTCTAATACACAAATGCAAACACATTCATGGTATTCCTTCTCTGAAACACATTTACAAATGTTACCATTCAATTTTAAAAGTGTAATTGTGGCTCATGGTTGCATAATTTTACTTCATACTTCCAGAACTGGAGGTCTGAAAGACCCTGTCCAGAATAAGCAATTTGAATATGGATGGATTAGATATTTTATATATGTATTTTGCTGAATAAAGGATGAATACAAAATACAGTGATTATTGAAATACATTGCTGATCATTCACTTCCTTGCTGGACACTGGAGTTCCAAAATCCAGTGAATTAATTATTTTAATTTTCATGGAAGAGGCCAGTTATGAATAAAACAGCTGCATTCTATAGAATCGAATGTGCACCTGGATAACTAAAAAAAAAGTCCCAGGCACTGGCTGAGGTCCCGAGCACAGGCTGAGGTCCCGGGTACAGGTTGAGGTCCCGGGTACAGGTTGAGGTCCCAGACCCAGCCTGGCATAGTCTGAGGTCCCGGGCACTGGCTGAGGTCCCGGGCACAGCCAGACACAGTCTGAGGTCCCGGGCACAGGCTCAGATCCTGGGCACAGGCTGAGGTCCCAGGCCTAGCCGGGCACAGTCTGAGGTCCCGGGCACAGCCAGACACAGTCTGAGGTCCCGGGCACAGGCTGAGGTCCCAGGCCCAGCCGGGCAAAGTCTGAGGTCCAGGGCACAGTATGAGGTCCCAGGCTCAGCCGGGCACAGGGTGAGGTCCCAGGTACAGCTGAGACACCTGATGGGGTGTATGATGTTGAAAGACCCAAACCCTCAATGCAACATATACTGGCATCTAAACAATGTATTTCCTAGGGATGTGCTACCTTGTTTCAGCAAGACCACTTAAAGCGATATTCTGCACGTATTACGACAGTGTGACTTCATAGTCAGAGAATGCGAGTGCTGCACTGGCCAGACCTGCATCCCACTGAGGACTTGTGACACTTCATGAAGCATGAAATACAAAGAAGAGCCCACACTGTTAAACGGCTGAAGCCTGACATCAAGCAGGAATGGGGAAAAAAATCCCACCTCTCATATTACAACAATTAGCGTCCTTAGTTCCCAAATGATTATTTAATGTTATTAAAGCAAAGGTCACAGTGACAAACACGCCCCTGTCCCAACTTTTTCGGAATGTGCTACAGGTTCCACATTAAAATAAGTATATTTACAAAACAGGAGAAGCAGGTACAGAAAACTATATATATATATATATATATATATATATATATATATATTTGTGTGTGTGTGTTTTTTATTTACAGTAGTATATGTAGAAATGAAAATCGAAAAGAAAAAAAAAGACTTCACTTGCCGAAAATCCACATGGAACTGAACTCAAAATGCTCTGATGTTGAAGTATAAAATTGAAAATGCTGCCAATCAAACAGAGGTCCAACCCTTTTGA